CGAGGCCTAGGGCCTAGAATAATTTCCTTTTGATGATACTGATGATAATAACTTATTTTTTGACGTAATTTTGTTAATTTTTATTTTTTTTTAATTTTTATTGCATTGTTTGTAATGTTCTTGTTGGCCTATACCAAAATGGATCTTGAGTTTGCAACATGCAGGGGTCCGAAGTCTTCTGCAACTCGCAACTATGAAAGTCCCCCTAAAATCGGCCACCCGCACTCCCGTAAGCAAACAAGAATCTCCAACAAATTAACCCATCTTCTGCAAATTCAAAATTGTTCATGTTTTTACTGCTTTATTGTCAATTTTCTCGCGGAAGTCGGAGCCGATGGGTATCACTATGCAGCAAAATAAAATTAAATGTGTTAAGAAATCTCATTAACCAGATTCAAGGGAGGGGGAAGCTGCCTCAAACCCCCTAAATATTTCAAAATTATGAAAAAAGGGGTAGAAAAGAAAATTGTATTCAAATTTAAGCCTGAGAGTGCCACTTTCGGCCATGTAGACCAGGCCTAGAGGTTGTAGGCATTTTATAAAGCAGACCTCACCTGATCCTGTCGGGTGTCATCCAATATTTAAACAAATCTGCAGTTCTCCCGATCGAATGGAATTTGCACTTGATTTCACAGGTCATCCCCTCCCCAAAAATACTCCGATTTATGCATAATTTGATTGATTTGATCGTTATTAGGGCACATAGAAAAAATTATTAGATTATCACTCTTTTTTTTTTTTAATTGATGAGGGAGGGCAGTTTTTTTTGTTTTTTTTTTTAAACCGGAACAGTAGATTATTTCGCTTTTGTTTTTATCCATGAGGGAGGGACTGTTTATATTTGGTCTGTAATAGTATATATTGTATAAAAATTGGTTTAATTTCTTTTTCTATTTGCCCTAATTATGTTATTATTATTTGTTCAAAAGACAAACTTTTATTTAATTTGATTTACTTGACAACTAGTATGAGATTGCAATTTCCCCAGTCAGACAAAATGGATGCCCATTTTCCAACACTACGGTGAGGTCATTGGAATCGACCGATGGCCGATCCAAACAAAGTTATTGTGAATGCCAATCCATGTAGTTTAACAGCACATTATTTGGCCATGGCATCCTAAAATTTTTCATTACGAGACACCGGACTGATGGATGCTTTATGTAGCCCCCTATGTTGGACCCCCTGTAGACTTGTTTTCCCCTATCGGAAGATTTCTGGAATAAAAAAAATGAAGAGGCATCTTATTCCAATACTATTTAGGCAAACTAGCCAGCTACCGCTCCTTATAGCCTGTCTCTTATACACATCTAGATGTGTATAAGAGACAGTCTATATAATGTTAATATTCATTAGCATTAAAACCATTTTCTGAAGACACTGCAAACATTATTTGCATACCAGTAAGTTGTTGAATATTTGCGCTATATTCGGTCACTGCTTCGTCATTCATTACTTGACCCCCAATGATGAACTCCATTTGACCTTTCTTTGATTTTAAAATTAAAAATAACATGACATTATAGCTGAATAAATAAGGAACAAGTTTCAAAAACAGCCAAAAAAATCGGTCTAATATTAACGAAGATACGTTAAAAAAAACTGCTCAAAAAGGGCTGATTTTCAGCGATTTCTCACCGTTTAGCGATTTCGGGCCGGATTTTTGGAACACAAAACAAATTGTAATGGTCCCCCTAAAATCGGGACGGCCACCCGCACTCCCGTAAGCAAACAAGAATCTCCAACAAATTAACCCATCTTCTGCAAATTCAAAATTGTTCAGTTTTTACTGCTTTATTGTCAATTTTCTCGCGGAAGTCGGAGCCGATGGGTATCACTATGCAGCAAAATAAAATTAAATGTGTTAAGAAATCTCATTAACCAGATTCAAGGGAGGGGGAAGCCGCCTCAAACCCCCTAAATATTTCAAAATTATGAAAAAAGGGGTAGAAAAGAAAATTGTATTCAAATTTAAGCCTGAGAGGGCCACTTTCGGCCATGTAGACCAGGCCTAGAGGTTGTAGGCATTTTATAAAGCAGACCTCACCTGATCCTGTCGGGTGTCATCCAATATTTAAACAAATCTGCAGTTCTCCCGATCGAATGGAATTTGCACTTGATTTCACAGGTCATCCCCTCCCCAAAAATACTCCGATTTATGCATAATTTGATTGATTTGATCGTTATTAGGGCACATAGAAAAAATACGCCTTTTTCACGAATCGGTAGACATGTTGAAGTGATGACAAACATTGCGAATCAGCGGTGCGTAAACAACAGAAATAAGATAAGCTTTTGGGCTGATTTTCTGACATCATGTTATTTAAAAAATCATAACTCCATAACGGGGCGTCGTATCCAAAAAGTGTTTCCAGGAAAATGTTCTTAAAAGACCAGTCTACACTACTATATGATTGAAAAAAAATTGAAAAATTTTTTTGACCTCTGAAATCAAGATTGAAAAAGAAAAGCCTATCTTAGTAGTGTATTAAAATAGGCCAATGCATTACAGTGCAGTAGCATAGGACTTTCGAGTTGTTACTGTTCCAAGTAGCGATAATATACATATTTCTCTTATTACAAAGTACAAGTTATGTTTTATAAAGAGGTATAGTATAGTAAATCATGTTTTTAACACAGGAAACTCTCATATGGTAACTAAAACAATGCTAGTTCAGAGTATTACTAGTACTGCAGCACTGTAATGCATATACATATTTTAATACAATACTGAGATAGGCTTTTATTTTTCAATCTTAATTTCAGAGGTCAACAAAATTTTTCAATTTTTTTTCAATCATATAGTGGTGTAGACTAGTCTTTTAAGAACATTTTGCTGGAAATTTTTTTTGGATACGATGCCCCGTTATAGAGTTAAGATTTTTTAAATAACATGATGTCAAAAAATCCGCCCAAAAGCTTATCTTATTTCTGTTGGTTACGCACCGCTGATTCGCAATGTTTGTCATCACTTCAAAATGTCTACCGATTCGTGAAAAAGGCGTATTATTAGATTATCACTCTTTTTTTTTTTTAATTGATGAGGAAGGGCAGTTTTTTGTTTGTTTTTTTTTTTTTTTTTTTTTTTGTTTTTTTTTTATCGAAACAATAGGTTATTTCGCTTTTGTTTTTATCGATGAATCAGGGACTGTTTATATTTGGTCTGTAATAGTAAATATTGTATAAAAACTGGTTTAATTTTATAGTTTTTTAAAGAAAATGTATTTGAAGTTACAAAATTGCATTGTTATTTTTATGCTGTTGAAATGATGATAATTTTTTTATTCCCTCATCAATATTTCCCAAATTTTTGACGCGAACGGGAGTGATAATCTAATAAATTTTTCTACAGTATTTTCTTTTATTCAATGTATTCGCTGCCTGCTCGTTTCGCAGTGCAATAAACAAGCATCCATTTTTAATTTGAATGTCGCCACCAACGGCCAATGATTTGTAGTGATGTGACTTTTTTGGTATCTTGCATCATCTTTTGGTTAATTCTGGAAACCTCCAGATTTTTTGGTAAATCTCCAGATTTCCATGACCCAAGTTTGGCAGGTCTGTATAAAGATAAGTTTTGTGGTCACAGTTTTCTCCTAATTGAAACGTTTTTACTGGTAAATTTGTCAATAAAAATTTAGCTATGCACGCAGTGTGAGGCGTTTTTGAGTAGGTCTAACGACTTGAAAAAACAACTACATAGTCATAGTGTAGGTATAGACTGGAATGATGTTCATTTATTGAAGAAGGCCAGCCTAGACTACCTACAGTAGGCCTAATCAGTGGTTTAATTATTTTGCAATATCAACATTTTTATTGGTTGACCTGTTTTTTTTTTACCGGAAAAATTGACGCCTAGAACGGCTTTGGGAGAAAACCGGGTCGGAACCACAAAAAGAATGTTCCAAGCCTAGGTGTATCTGACATATACCAATGATTACAAACCTGTATTTAATATTTATTTCCATCAAAATTATCAATTTATAAAATACAATAAAAACACATCATGTAAATAAGTGAAAACAAGATGGAGGAAATATGTAAAATGGTGAACCACATTTACAGAATAGACAACTCACACCCACACAGCACAGAAACAGAGAAACATTGGTATCAATAAAAATTGTAAAATATGCAATTTGAAAATTTGGTGAAATAAGCATTGAAGATAATTAGAATTATTTTGTTTTATTAAAATATTAAATGCTAAGTTAATTTTAAAGCAAACCTTTAAGAATTCTTTTAAATTGTGCTAAAGCCTACAGTACACTGTCAAATTTTCATTATGAAATTATTAGAACTGTAGGCCTACTGTGTACATTAAACAGTGTTAACTTGGTGTATAGTGGGAAATGTTCATCATAGATAGCTACTTTCTTTAATATGGTTACGAAGTTGGTTGTTGATATTATTGACTCTCATCCTTATTATGGTATTATTATTGTTCATACTATATTTGTATTACTATTAATAAATTATGGTAATATTATTGATGTTGTTTTAGTGTATGGAAGTTTTTAATGTTTTCACATTCTGTATTTGGTTATGTTTCATAAACCAATAAACTAACAAAATTATTATATAAAAATTCATCTGTCCATCGAAAATGTTAAATAACAACAAATGCCGGTATTGAGCTTTTATACAAAGTATATGTTTTTTAAAGACATTGTACTTTTTTTTTGTTATACTTATAACAACAATAAAAGCTATTCTGTTCACTACAAATGAATACTTGTTCCAACTTGTGGTCACTGAAAGATGACTGATGATAATTACATTAAATTTTTAGGGTCAAGTTTGTTTAAAATCAATCAACCCGATGTAAATAATACCAATAACAGACTTTTTTCTTTTTGTAGTAGCGTTCTAAGCACCAATGGTTTTTCTTTTGTCCTCCTAAGCTACTTTTTTACACTGACTGAATAGCCGATCCAGCTCACCCAAGCATACTAATATAGCACTGCAGGCCCTGCATTTTTTATGCATTCATAGTTTTCGGAGTGTGGTGGGAGTGATTAGTCATCAGGGCTTTAATAATATTTCATGTGTTGGTGTCCATTTTCATTTGGTGTCAGGATTTGTCAGCTGCCTACTGCTTAATATAGAAACATGTACAGATTGTTCACAATCACAAATGCTTGTCTGGTGTTTTCGTTGTTGTAGAGTGAGTACCACTGATTTTTAACTCAATGAAGATTACTTCCTACAGGGTATGAATTGTATTTCATACAACTGTTGATTTAAAAGACAAACTTACTGTACTTTAGGTATCTTCTGTGTATGAGGCCTTTTAACCTACCAACATCTGTGTGTTTTTCTTTTATTGTTTAGCCACTTAACAATAATCAGTGCTTTCCCCTGGCTTCTACCCAGATATTATGTTTTCTCTGGCTCCCAGCCAAAGGGGTTTATAAAATCCTACGTACTCTAGTTTGTTTTTGAGTACAGTACTTCTTTCGGCACTGTAATGTTGTGATTTATAATAATATTATTGTTGTTTGGTTTTATTATACTAATTAGTTTCATCCTGACTTTTGAATGCATCTAGTACTGTGGTAATAGTAGTTCTTTTTTTATGGGGTTTCTATCTTGACACTCAATTGGGTTGAAGAAGGGTAAAGAGAAATTGTAATCTACCTACATTGAGTAAGGGCCAGGTGACCTCCCTGCTGCCAGCATTGAAGCAATGTAAACGATAGCAAGGGAATTGATGAGTTAACTAAAGTATATCATTAGAATTTTAAATGTTTTCACTAGCAGAAAACTATCAGTGTTTTCCTCCAGGCTACAGTCTATTTGAGTTATTCATGTAAAATATTTTGTTAATGATTAGTTATACTAATACAGTGCTATTATTATTAAAATAATTGGTATTGTTATTTTAGTCCAGGCGTGACCAGCCGATGATAGATGATGCTGCTGTAGTCCAAGAAGTACATGAGTCAGAGGATAAAGAAAAACCAAGAGGGAGGGATGGTGTAACCAATGGCCTGGGGTCAGCATCGTCACTAGGACATAGTGCTGTCCCAGCAACACAAGTCCATGCTGCCGCTCTTCATGGAGACAAACCGCTTCTTCAAAAACTCCTAGCAGGTAAGTTTATTAATATCTGTATGTGTTTTCCCCGTTAGTGTAATAAAAATCTCTTTTAACTTCAACCATTTTGGATAAAAAGACCCTAGAAATTTATAATAAAAATTAAATTACTTGTAATATTTAATTACTATGTGAATGTGCCGGTTTCTCAACATGAGTGTAGTTATGAATCATATATTAAGATTCTTAAAGTTAGTATGAAGTGTATTTTTTTTTTCTCTTATTAAGATTTCTTTATTTTTGTTTATTATTTACACACCTGAAAACATGTATATATAACCGATTGTATTATATGTTCCAATATTTTCTTTAGGTACCTCGATCCTTTCATTTATTTGTTTTCTATGTAAATAGACGTTTTGTACGGTCTTCATGTACCGTAGTAGAGTATTGTAAATTTCTTTTCAGTGATTAAACCTTTAGTCCTTAATTTGTACATCTGCAAAACCAATTTTTTCATCCCACACAATACTTTCATTCTCTTCTTAGTCATTATGCATACAGTATATTGTACATCCCTTTCAGTAAATGGTGATTGCATTTCTTTGTTAGTTTCTGCTTAATATAGATCTTGCTATAGTACAATACCATAATGTTTATGTTTCACCAATGACAACAAACAAATTAATTCACTTCTGGTTGATACACTGTTGTTGCCTTGTGTTTCAGTTTGCATTTGTTTGCCACAGGCACTTTTATTCCACATTTATTGCTGCTGTTATTGTTGAATATTGTCATTCTATTGTCTTTAGCTCCGATAAGGAGCTCTAGAAACACTCGGTTGATTGATTAATAGATCTATTTTATCTCTACTGCCTCTATTATACTGCCCTCATGAGGCTGATTGATTAATAGTTGATTGATTATATTATAAATCTTTTTAGCTCTACTGCCTCTGTTATACTGCCCTCATCAGAGCTTTTGAGATTATAAGAACTTGTTTATACACAGAGATCATGTCTTGAGATGTTACTAAGCATGTCTGGAGATTTGTTTGCTATGCTCTCCTTTTAGTAAAAATGGGTTTTCATTATTTTTTAGTACCTTAGTTCAACATAATTATTAATAATAATATGACTAAAACTTACTTTGTTGTTAAATGTCAAGATTTTTAGATAACTTCGTTTAATGCCAGTTATTTGTGCTTAAATTTTTTAATTAAGCCATTTTTTTTTTTTCAAATTATGTTTTCTTTATGCCTTTGTTTGCATGGGTATCTCAACCATTGACGCTCCCTTGCTGGCATCACCACTGATTTCATCTATCAACAATAGGCCTACATATTGGAAAATACAATTCTAAATACCTTTACGATGGTGACAGTCAGTATCACTAGCTATTTTCTGCAACTAAAATATTTTTTTTAATATTTATTACTATTTTATATGATTTGTATTGCACACATCATATCCAAAAAACTGCACAAGCACTTTTGTCCCTGGTCGTTGGATACAGAATCAATCATACATCAACATGAGCAACCACCTTTGCTCGCTGGGGAGTATTCCTAGTTATGTGTGTTATCAGCACACTACTAAATTTCATTCAGAATCATTTACCTCCTACCAGGTACCCATTTATACTCCTGGGTGAAGAGAGGCAGATGCAGATAAAGTGTCTTGCCCAAGTACACAATCTTTGTGATGAGCATCGGTCTCGAACCCCCAACTGAAAGTCCAATGTTTTACACGCTTTTTAGTGGGTGGTCATGTGATAGGTTTAAATGCAATAATGGGATGGTATATAAATTAGAGAAGGTGCAAGTATTCCCAGTTTATGAATGAAATGATATTGTGGTTTGGGTTTTTTTTTTTTTCAAATGTTGTGATGCTTTTAGTGCTTAGTGGTTGGATAATGGAAAAGTGATTATGTGATTCATTCATTCATTGAAAGACTTTGATTACTCAGTTTCGAGCCCCATTGATACTAATCGCAGATTTATTTAAATGTTGAACTCAAGGATTGTTGAAATAAATCACTTCTTAAGTTCAAGGATTTATTCCTTTTCTTTTTTAAACAATAAATTCCATTTGATTTGTAAACTAGGAACTAGATAGGCTATTCTATTTATATTAGAGGGGTGTTATTATTCCAATATCAAATACAATACTGATTTCACTGTGAATACTGTAAGGCCTACCATAGTACTATAAGTGCAGTAGTGATGTCAAGTTTCATACAGTAGGCATATTGATATGTACCGTATAAGGATACGATACTGTATCAAATATATGCTGCCTAAATATGATGTGAGCACCACATCAAATCAAACCATGATTATTATAGATATTTTGAAAAGTTCAACAGTTAGTTGATAACTGATGCTAACCATTACCTGCATACATGATACATGGTGGGTGCACATCCCTGTAAGAGTTTTTTTTTCATTCATTACAGTATCATTATAAAAATTGGTGGGTCATGGGGTTATTGAGAATAAATTGTAAAGGATTAAAACGGTATCACCGTAATTTTTAGATTGCTCTATATTAACTGATGAAGAAATACTGTCCTTCAAACGATGAACAAAGTATTTTTAAATCTGACATTCATTGTATTTTTTATGGAAATAAAATTATTGAAATCTATCTTAGTATTTCACTTTTATTTCTAATTTATAGAATTAAAAAAAAAAGACAAAAAAAACCAAAAAAAAAAACATCGAAGTTTTGCTGAATCTTTAATTACATTTTAATTTTGATATTTTTTCTTTATTTTTTTCAGAGTCAGCCGAACATATTGACCAGGGTGACCAATTTGGTCGCACACCATTAATGTTCTGCGTCCTAGCTGATAGACCAGATTGTGCGGAGATTCTTATCAGGAATGGCGCAAAGGTTGATTGCAAAGACCATGGAGGGCGCACTGCATTACATTGGGCAGCCCACAAGGTTTGTTTAATTATTGCACAGTATATGTTTTACCTGCTATAACTCAAATTTTTCTAAATGTTAGTGCGCCCCCATTAATCATCTTTAAAATTAGGCGTAAACAAATAGGCATTTAAATACTGGCTAAATGTATTTATATGTCTATTCTTTTTCTTTTTTAATTAGTGAATTTGCTAGCAACCCATGTTTTGTTATTCTATTTGTTATTTATAATAATAATAATAATTTTTTTGCTAAGATTTCTTAACAAAAATACAAATAATAATTTATGCAGGATTGCTAATATGTTTGAAAGTAGAAGTGACTGTATGTGGGCAAATTTTGTTTTCAGGGTAATTTTCGATTTCTGAAGCTGTTGATATCACGAGGGTGTAGCTGGCGGGAGCAAGACAACGAAGGGCAGGCAGCCTTGCATCTCATCACGAAACATAAAAACACAAAATGCCTGGGATACTTAATGAAGTTCCTAGAACCAGGGGATGTGGACTTGCAGGACAAGGCCAATGTAAGTAGTATCATAAGAAAAGCGAACATTGCTATTGGCCAATGAAAATTGATATCAAACCTATGGAAAAAAAATTGCGATTTCCAGAACAAGGTCTATACATAAATTGCTGCTGCTGGTAATCAGCGCAGGAGCAGGCAACCCCACCAGGTACCCATTTCTACTCCTGGGATTAGAGAAGCAATGCAGATAAAGTGTCTTGCTCAAGGACACAAGCGAAATGCACAGCGAAGGATTGAAACCCAGACCTCGAGGGGAAACCAAACCGTTTCCTGCTGCGCCAATCCGCTTCCAAGATCTCATATCAATTATGTTTTTTCCCTTCAGAGAACAGCCTTACATTGGAGTGCATCTTATGGAAATGAAGAAGCTATTAAAATGTTAATCAAATATGTAAGTTCCATTTGTTATTTATTCATGTAGTAACAATTGCGCTTAAAGGGTCAAGGGTTGCAGTCTTTGTCTGGCCACTTTTGTGTGTCAGCCTTAAGCAAGATACTTTTATCACTCATCACCAGTAACACACAAATTTTTATTGATTTGATTTGATTTATTCAAATTTGTTGACTACTAATTACAACATTACAGGTTTCTGTAACATCAATATTTTATATTTATCAATTTTTTTTTTTTTTTTAGAATTCCAATATTGGTATTCCTGATATTGAGGGTAAAACACCGCTGCACTGGGCTGCCAAAGCAGACAATGACCAGAGCGCTGTCAATTCCGTCCGACTTTTATTAGTGAGTTTTCAATTATTTTCATCTTACATTTCTCATTGCTATTTGTCTTTCTATATTCATGAGAGGAGAAAATCAGATTATAATATTGAGGTATTTTTTCTATTAGGAATGTTTGTAATAAATTATCAATATTGATTTTAAATAGGAAAGGGAAGCCAGTGTTATTAATTGGCAGGATTACGAGGGTAGAACAGCTCTTCACCTAGCTGTGGCTGATGGCAGTGAGACCATTGTTCAAATCCTGGTAAATGTCATGTTTTATATATTCAATAATCACAGCCTATGAAATGCGCATGCCCATATCGAAGATCAGTTTACAAACATTTAACACAAATGCTTACTGTTTGTGTTGATTGACCTTCAATACAAGTATGCGCAGTTCAAACTATGAAGTCATGTAACCAAAGAATTTTTTTCCAAGTTTATTCAAAAATCAATTTAACAAGAATCAATTAGTCAATCAATAACTTCATTTTTTATTTTCATAATATTTCTACTCAAGCCAATTTTCCGTATTTGTTAAACCCCAAACGTCAAGGGTTTCATTAAATAAAAGTGAACTAGTAAATCACCCATTGAAAAGACATTTTAAGTATGAACACCCTTAAACAACCCTTAACATTCCACAAATATTAATAAATAGAAGACCAGACCCTTTTTGGTTTATTTTTTTTTTCCTCTTGTGCTTTGTAGCTTACAATTTAAATTTATTGGTATATTTTATTATTGTGTTATTTTGTCCTAATCCTATTGATTATTCATTCATGGAATATTTAGATTGATGTTGAATCCAGCAATGTATCAGCTCTAGATAACATGTTCCGGACCCCCTTACATTGGGCAGCCGTGCTTGGACATACAAAGATTGTCACGATGCTTCTAGATCATAAGGCGCCCTCTACGAGCTCTGATGCAAATGGTGCCACACCTCTCCACTATGCTGCTCAGAATAACTTTGCTGTAAGTGTAAAATTCTACATTGTATCTTTGTGAGGTAATGTTTACTTGTAGCACCAGAAATGACTGCTAAATATTACCCATAATAATCATTCTATACGCAGCCTATGTCAATTTTATTGCTATGAAATGGCCTTGTTCCTAATTGTGAGAAAAAGCTTAATACAACAAAACACTTTAAAACAACTCAACCTGATTATTTTTTTTTTCCTTTTATTTTTTGATATTTTATTTTCTATGATTATGCTGTTTATTATTTTCTCTTCATATATGTTACTTGGTCACATTAGACGTATTATTGTTAGCTTTATTAATGTGTTTTTTGTTTTGTTTTTTACACTTTCTTTTGTTGTTTTTGTTAATATGTAATTGTTCTAGTTGTTATTATTAATATTATTGTATGTAAATCGTGTAAATGATATCAATGGATTTGTTAACATAAAAATGCAAGATAGTCTATGCTATAGTATTTATTCTTGCAACAACTTAGCATTTTGGAATGAAAAATTATCAGTATATAATATTTATAAATAAATCTTCCTTTTCAGGAAACTGTTATGGCCTTTCTGAAGCATAACAGTACCCATGATGATCCAGACTTAGAGGGCAGAACAGCACTTATGTGGGCTGCAGGCAAAGGGGCAGACACAGTCATCAAGACCATTGTGGAGCATGGCCCAGAAAATGCTATACATGCTACTGACAAGAATGGGGCTACAGGTAAGGAGGAAATCAAATTAGAGATTCAGGACTGGCTTTAAGGTTAAGGTGCTTCTAATTCTAAGGTCTTCAGTTCAATTCAGACAAAAAGTCAGGCTTTTCCTTACAACTCTACTATCTTCTTCAATCCCTTCAAGCCTCATTCCTGTCATATGACCAGTATCATTGAATCACTATAAAAACCAAAATTAGAAGACCGTACATTATATATCCATGGAAAAACACTGCATATTTTAGGACCTCACTTCACCTTAAAATTACCTAAGCCAAAAGAAGTTATGTATTTACTTCTGTCTGTCTAAATTGTCTTTATTTTGTAACAGTAATGCCTGTCTCTTATACACATCTAGATGTGTATAAGAGACAGTCGCACCCCTATCAACCCCCCATTTCAAGACCTCTGGATATGCCACTGATTAATTTCATCTTGTGGTATGTTTGTTTCTTTCAGCTCTTCATGCTGCAGCCATGTCTGGACATTCCAGCTCTGTTCAGATCCTATTAGATGTAAGTATTTTTTCTGTTCACTAAAAGACTACCGTAAACATGCATACATGCATACATATAATATTTGTAAGTGGTTTGATGCAAATGTTTAATGCATCTAGTCTAATCTGACTGTTTATATCACTGTAGCAGTATTCCACTGGAAGAAATAGGATGATTATCATGCAGTTTTGCCTCAAAAATATTGTTACGCTGGGTTCTAACAATCTTCTAATACTTGTAAAATGATGTCAGTCTATGTGCATAAATTGTATGCTGTTTTTTAAACAGGTTATCCATCTTTCAATGTATATATTTTATTGATTTCAGTATAAGGCAAATGTAGATGCAGAAGATCTCCTCAAACACACACCACTATTCAGAGCAGCTGAGCTAGGCCACATAGATGTGGTGAACACACTCATTCAAGGTAAGTATCACAATGTCTAACGTGGATCCCGTTACCCTGTTGTCATGTCATGTGCTCATACAGTTTTAACAATGTCAAAAGGTCAAAATATCCATACGACATGATCATCTTTTATATTATAGTGCTATCACTTATTTGTTGATCTTTACTGTATAGTTTGGTCAAATATTGTAACAAGTCTTTGATAACAAGACTACTGTATATAAAAGACATAGTTACATATATTCCGTATTGTAATTTTTTTATTTTCTTAGGTGGTGCAAATATTGAAGTTGTAGATCTAGATGGACGTTCTCCTCTCCACTGGTAAGTAGATTAAATTAAATATATTATTACAACATGATTTCAGTCATTAAATGTTATAGTTATTATAGCAATCAAATATTTATAAAACTTGTATGTATTGTATAGTGGTTATTGCACAAATATTCATGACATTCTGGATATCAACTAAATAGTTTGCCTAAAAGCATTTGACATTTTTCATACTGTAGGGCTGCGCTTGGCGGACACGCATGTATTTGCGACATTCTGATGCGCCATGATATACCACCAGACATCCCAGAGTTCGCCGGCAGGACGCCTCTACAGTGCGCAGCATATGGGGGATTCATAAATTGCATGTCATTACTTATGGAGAAGGGGGCAGATGCAGACTTGAAAGACCATGAGGTTTGTCTATTATATCTCTATCAATTTTAATTATATTATTTTTATTATTGCTACTACTATTATTATTATTATTATCATAATAATATTGTATATTTTATCTATACAGTAGAACTCCTATTAAGAGGACACCTTCAGAAGCAGAAGAAAATTCCCTCAATAGGGCATGTCCCCTGAATAGGGATTAATCGTAGTGTTAAAAAATACACTTGTACACAATTTGGGGCAAATAATTGACTCCTTATTAGTGGAGTCCCACTGTATATGGATGGATGTTTTTATAAAATTTTAATGACTTGAATATTACTCATAACTTAATAATTGAATTAAATAAAGATTCACATCCATATCAAGACCCCTTCCCCTCCTAATCCTCTCTTAGCCTTTATTTATTTATTTGCTTGCTTGCTTACTTATTTTATTTATTTATATAAGATACAATGCACTTATTTATTTATTTTATTTTATCAATTTATTTATCTATTTATTTAATAACAATGCGATATATATATTCTGATTTAAATTTCTTTGATTGCAGGGAATGACAGCCTTACATTGGGCCTGCAGTTCAGGGAACCTGGATGCTGTTAAACTTCTTATCGAAAATGGTGCTTTCCCTAACCACATGGAATTTAATGAGGACCGCTTCACTCCCTTGGACCACGCCCTATTAAATGACTTTCATGATGTTGCGCAATATATGATTGAACAAGACGCCCTCTCTATCACAGGAATAAGAGATATCGCCTCAGTTAAAATACAGGTTGCTGGCTTCGTTATTTTAATTTAGGTTCCCTTCTGATATTTCCTATTACAGCAAACAAGAATCAATCACTTATCTCCTGCAAATTCCTAGTGTTTGCTCGTTCTTACTATGTTATCAATTGCCTCGTGGAAGTCACTTCCAATGGGTTTCACCATGCACAGTAAAACTTGGGACCCCCTGCTGTACATCATTGGTTAGGAATTGAATCACCAGAGAACAAAGGTGCGATGTGATGGAAATTAGATTTGATTTAAATACACATAACATAAAGTTAAAAAAATAATTGATTGTAAACTATTGGATGTTTTTATCTTTTTTTTTTATAGTCTTACTTTCGTGGATACTGTGTAAGGAAGACTTTCTTAAAGCAAAAGTCATTGCTAATGAAACATGAACAACTGAGAAGAGACGCAGCAAAGTAAGTGCAGTCTTTAGTCATTTCCAACTGTAAAGTCTAAAGCCGGACACTCGCACAGTCGTACGACGAATCGGTGGCAGTCTGAACAGATCCGTTGTACGCGTGTTGTAACGTTGCATTCTACGTAGGGTTGCGGCAGCCAACGACCATCGGGCTCAGTGAAAGCCCGACTTAACTTTAGACTAGACCAGTGGTTCCCAACCTTAAGGTGTCCACAAACAAATTTTGGGTCTGCTAGGCTCTGAGACCAATTTTTCATGATTCCATTATTTTTGTCATTTTAACAACAGTGTGATTAACATCCTTCTGCTAACCATTAGGACGAGCCTTGTCAATAATGAAATAGCTCTGATGTACTTTTGTGGCGAATTATCTTCTACCTATAATCCAATCGTATTGGTAGAACATTGACAATGAGTAATTTAGACTTGGGGGTCCATGAACACTTTAACATGTCCCGATAGGTGTACACAGATGCAAAATGTTAGGAAGCGCTGGGCTAGACCTACCTATTTTGACTGAAGGATAAAACATTGTTCGCATTTTGGAATCTCTAGGTATAACTTATCCCCCTTCACCAAATTTTGCCAAGTTTGTGGTTAAGGGGTAAACCTATATATGAGTATCTACAATAACCTAAAAACCAGAAGTCATGCAATGACGTGAAATGTACTGAATGCTTTGTTGATCGCAATTATCGTTATTTTGATGTTCAAGGCTCAGTTGACCTGTAATATACTGTATTATTCAAATAAATGCCCTGCTTTAAATAGATGCCCCAAGGTGTTCATTTTTTCCTCAAATAAACACCCCCCTAAATGACTGTAAACAAATCATCAAACATCATTCTCAACACATTCTATTAGTTCTACTCCAGTAGAATTACATTTTTTCTAACCTAGTTGGGATTAATAAGTCTTTATGATCACACAATAACACAATTTGGCAGTAATTGTGTTGAAGTTCCACATTTACAGTGAAATTATAGGGGTATTTATTTGAGTATATACTTATTCATTTTTTGCCAAAAAAATGTACGCATCCCTCGAGTAAATGCCCCTTTGAACACCCTTCTCAACATTAAACACCGCGGGGCATTTATTCAAATAAATACGGTATATAACATACATGAAATTTGTGTTTCAGTGTCAAACTAGGGGGACAGAGACGTATGATGCACACGTGGGACCCAGAGGTTCTTGCAGTAAGGCAGACTATCGCTCTACAGAAGATCTATACCCAGCCAATGGATGCATATGAATGGAACCCTGGGCCAAGGAAGAAACCTGTACGGCCAAATTATATGAAATATATACCATCTCCTGCAGGTATGGCTTTATAGCAATTCCCTTAAAGTTAATGTAAAAATGAGTAAAACATTGTATTAAAAGGTTGTTTTGAGATTACAAAAATATCAAGATCTATCTATCTACCAGTAAATGTCAAATACCTTCATAACTGTCTCTTATACACATCTAGATGTGTATAAGAGACAGACTGTAAACAAATCATCAAACATCATTCTCAACACATTCTATTAGTTCTACTCCAGTAGAATTACATTTTTTCTAACCTAGTTGGGATTAATAAGTCTTTATGATCACACAATAACACAATTTGGCAGTAATTGTGTTGAAGTTCCACATTTACAGTGAAATTATAGGGGTATTTATTTGAGTATATACTTATTCATTTTTTGCCAAAAAAATGTACGCATCCCTCGAGTAAATGCCCCTTTGAACACCCTTCTCAACATTAAACACCGCGGGGCATTTATTGAATAAGTACGGTATATAACATACATGAAATTTGTGTTCCAGTGTCAAACAATGTTAACTGAATTTGTTTGAATACAAATTGAAAATATGCAATTGAAGTCTTGTATATAATCATAATTAATTTGTATCGAAACTGTTATACTGTTACAGGAAAAAGGAAGAAGAATCGAAGAAGTTGGATGGGTGTTCCAAGAAAAATTTGAATGAAGCGGAAGGTGCTAATAATAATAATAATTTACTACAAGTGACTGATACTAAAGAAAGTGATTTAAGCAAAGCAAGGTCGGTGAATTCTGTATACGTGGAAACTGACGAACCGACACAAAACCATAATGGGACCAGATATAACCGGTCCAATTCGCTGCTCATTGTTTCACAAGACATTTGCAACTCATCTATTAGCATTGACGACCCACTGCCACAATCGTCTCCGTCCGTTTCTAGTGATTTGAGTGTCTCCCTCACATCATGCACCGATAACAATGCTTCTCCTACAAACACTGTACTGGATAACAATGTTAATAATAGTAACAGTAATGCTGTACGTGAATCTGATGCCAAACGAGGGAGTGCTTCAAGTGAAAAGACTGATAGTTTGCATCAGAAATCAAAAAAGGTTGCAGAGCAAAATAAGTTAGTAGATAAGTATCGGGAGCAACCACTATCCTGGAGGAAACAAAACAATGCAGCAAAATCGATACAGAGAGCCTGGAGAAGGTAAGTTTTTTGTCTAGGTAGATTGGGCCAAGCCGGCCCAGTCTCCTAAATGTTTCAAAATTTGGAGGAAAATGGCCAAATTATAATGAAGTTTAGGTCTGAGAGTACCATTTCCAGCCATCTAATCATACCATAATCATAAATTTTCTTACCTAGAGTCAAGATTCTCCATCTGTGAAAACCTGAATACAAGTGTTAACCACTATTATATTATTTTATATCAATTAGTTTATCTATTCTTGTCATATTTTTAGAGAATTTTTTCTACTATGTGTCTTGGTTGATAGTATTCTTAATATTAAAATCCAATTAAATGTATATGTACACTGCTAAGCAATACAAATGTTCAATTGTGGTTCAGTTTTGTATTTTATTAAATTCTGGCAAGTTGTATTGTAATTTTATTTTTTCCCAGACACATTCACAATAATAAGGTATCAGTAGTACACGTTGCGAAGACTGAGAATAGGAGACGGTTAGGCCATGGGGAGGACGCCTGGGAGAGGCAGGTAGCTGCATGCACCATCCAGCTAGCCTGGCGCAGGTACTTCCGTAAGAAACTCCTGAAGGAGCTAGGGGGACAGAGACGTATGATGCACACGTGGGACCCAGAGGTTCTTGCAGTAAGGCAGACTATCGCTCTACAGAAGATTTATACCCAGCCAATGGATGCATATGAATGGAACCCTGGGCCAAGGAAGAAACCTGTACGGCCAAATTATATGAAATATATACCATCTCCTGCAGGTACGGCTTTATAGCAATTCCCTTAAAGTTAATGTAAAAATGAGAAAAACATTGTATTAAAAGGTTGTTTTGAGATTACAAAAATATCAAGATCTATCTATCTACCAGTTAAATGTCAAATACCTTCATAATTATCTTAAAAACTTGATATCAAGATGACTGTAGATGGCTGCAGTGTAATACTTTTTAGTTTAATTTGTTATAGACCCAATGAACGTTTTTCCAGTGTCCTTGTCCAGTATTCTCTTGGCCTGTTAACTTTTCTATGGTATTCTGTGTTTTATTATGTAAACTACTGTATTCTATCTCTTCATTAATATGTGTGTATTAATTGAAAAGCATGGATGAGTTCATGGAGGAACCAACGGGCATCCACCCTTTTTCCTTAGTGTGATGAGTCAGTGGTATGCCAGGGCCAACAGGGAAGGCTCACTGTAAAAACCAATGCTCCAATAGCGAAATGATGACACAAACAAAACGAGGGCAGCAACCAGCGTGAAGGTTGCCGTGGGCCGCACCTGCGTACGAAAAAAAGGAAGGTGCAAACCCTCGACAGAGAATGCAAAGACCTGTGTTTTATAGTCTCGTCATGGCGTGAAAGTCAGTAACCCTTCGTAAGAAGGAAAATGCTGACTTAAAATAAATTATCAAATCAGATCAGAATTGAAACTTGTAATTTTTTTTTCGCATTTGTCTTTTTCTTTAAATACTCTCTATTTTATTATTAAAATATCTTTTTTGTCATTTTATTTTACTGTAGCTCTATCCTTTAATTTTGCTGTTGATCAGTACCAACCAGTCAGCAGGAGAGGCTCACCATACACCTCGTTAACACTTCCCAATCTCCGCAGGTCATCCCATGCAATCTTTGAAGATCTTGATGACTTTATATATGGTAGGAAACAAAACCATTCATTGCAATGTACTGTATAGTTATATGGTCATAGACCTTTATGGGACAACCTGTGTGTTGGTTGGACACGTTACAGTTCCAGTTTATCAGTTGTTAGGCTTGATTGACACTCCGGGAAAAGTTCATTACTGTGGATTTTGTGATGCCCAAGCCCGAGCAACCCAAAATCTTCAAGCTCAATTGCCCAAAATTAATGTATAATGTTTAAATTTAGTACCTTAACCATGGAATTAGCCATGATTTTGCCACTTTACCAAAACAATCGCAAGGATCAGGTGATGATAAGCTGCAAACCTAGAACTTGGCTTATAGTAGATAATAAGCTCCCAGCAGGAGCATGTGTTTACTGCTTAATAGTTTGTCTTTTTTTGGCTCACAAGTCATCAGCAGTAGGCCTAATTACACATTATGTTTTCTTTAAACAGGCCTAGGCATGGCATCGTTATTATTTTGTAGGCTTACTAAATAGAGCCATCTGCATGCTCTTCAACCTCACAAAAAAGCAAAACTGTTCATTTCTATAAATGCACAGTGAGGGGTATCCCATCATTCCTCCAACTTTACTCTTACAAGTATAGAAATGAGAGAAAAGTGTCTACTTGCCTGCAAGTGGGTGGTAGACATAAAAAGTAATCCTGACCGATAATTTCTAATTGTCACTGTGGTTGTGCAACGGACAATTTCTGTTTTTGAAATAGTGGTGGTAGCTATTGAAACCAAAGTATTTTCACAGCCCCTTCACTTGTTTATATCTTCACTAAATGTTCAATTTTTATATAGCTGTTTATTTTTTCATGTTTGCTTCTTTTTCTTTTCCAGATGCCGATATGCAAAGTGTCCATTTGTCAGATGATGGCCGTGGGTCAATAGCAAGTCACTATTCTTACAATCTATACAGATAATAAAGTCAAATGGTGATGTTTGAATACGGTGTGAATTGTGGCATCTGCTCTTTAATTCTACCTCAGGTTATCTTTTGTTTATAACCTAATGCAATTTTTCTGCTATGAAAATTGTCAATGAATTGTCATTTTTCTCTTAAAACACTTAATAATAATATGACTTCTCTTCGTACAAGATGCTAAATTAGAATGTTAATGTTTTATTTATCAGGAAATTATCACAATGTCTACATGCTTCTGTTGAGATTTTGGCAGAAACAAACTTACTAGCATTCTGCTCTTGTAACGTTGGCATGGCTTAAAACAGTGCTGCAGCCATTATTTACATTAGGAGGATATTGACCAACTGGGGTATAGGGTCACCTAGAATCCCTAGCAAGATCAATGGTCAGAGACAGTTGGATCACAGCTCAGTATTTCCGGGATTCCTAAGGGTTCAAATACTGGACTACCGATGCTGGTCAAGATGTAAAAATTTAAGATTTTTGAAAAAATATACATTACACAAAATAACAAATTTTACATTCAGTACATCCGTGACCGTCTTTAAAATGTGGACCTTTTCCGATTTGGTGGGGATATGGGCCTGATTAGACAAGTATTTATTGATAAGAAAACATGTTAGGTGTTTGGTGGAACATAATGTACTACAGGACCTATAATGATGTAGAGTTTTAAGGATTATAAGGTGATGAGGTTGAGTGACAATCATGGTGGTGATGATAAATGGTGATAATTATGATACAGTTCATCATGATCATAATGATGGTAATGCTAATAATTGATGTGGTATTGTCATTTGATATAGTGCATTATGCTAGTGCCTCAGTAACAACAATAATATAATATTTAGAAATGAATTTCTTATTATGAGATCAGATTTTATATGCAATGCCTGTTTTATTATTTGAGTCTTGTATATCATTCATTGGCCCATAATTCTAAACTGGTATATCACATAGTGTAGTATAATAATAGAAAATATAGTTTTAATATATCTCTCAAAAGAATATATTTTGGAAGTTCATATTTATTTAAGTTATATAATTATAGTATTTGAAAAGTATTGTTCGATATTAAAACCACAGCTGATTAGAATTCTTGTCAGTGCTGTTGTTTTTATTCATTCAAAATTGTCAATTACTGCCAGTATCCAAATTAAATTAACCTTAATAAATGACCGAATATGCAATACAGCACTTTGTAGGATTTTTATAGCGCATATATCTAGATCTACTTAAGGTATTTGATCGGTCATCGCACTGTGCAACAGCCTCCGCTCCCTGGGAAGTATTCCTAGTTATGTATGCAGGGGTTCCAAATCCCCTGCAAGTCTCCCAGAAATTGAGATGCCAACCCCCCCCCCACACTTTCGCCCACAAAAACGAATCTTAAGGAAAATAACCTATCTTCAGCAAACTCATAAAATTTGCACGTTTTTTTACTGCTGTATTATCAATGCATCCTGGAATTTAGTGCCGATTTGTATCACCCAGCACAGCAAAATAATATTAGATACAAATTCAAATTGGGACCCCTGTGTAATGTTATTCGGCATCATTACCAATTTCATTCCGAATCATTCACTTCTTACCAGGTGCCCAGTTGACTAAAAGCAAATTTAAATGCTGAAGAAGCCACATAGCAAGTGATCTGAAAGAAACTTATTTATTAGGTCATGAGTAATGACACAAATTTCTTGTAGAGCAGATGTAACAAATAATAAACACTGTGCAACCTTCACCAGATTGTTCGCTAGTTCCAACATTTTTTACTTTTTGCTCTGGAAAAAATTTAATCATGCCCGTGAACACAGAATTGAAGCGTATGAATGGTACACGGTCCAGTCACTGGTTTGGCAACGCAAAAACAATGTTAGTGAAAAGTGTATCAAGAATCTGTTTAATCCTGTAGTGGAAAATAAAGAAGCATTTATTTTATTTTATTTTATTTATTTCCAGGCAAGACAATACAGTACAATAGATAAGAGAAACAAATGACAAAAACAAAAAGCCTGAGGATTACCTAAAAGCGAACTTAATCACTATCTAAAGGCTCTCCAAAACATTAAAAAGACAAACATTAAAATCTGAAAAATTCACAATTCACAAGTCATATATGTACAATATAAAAAATTAATAAAAATATTACAAAGAGAATTACAATTTCATTAAGGTAAAAATATAATTTAATTAATTTATTATGATTTAATTAAAAAAATATTGCTTAAGTACATATTTAAATTTTGTGGAATTAATTGCACATTCCCTAATATTTGGAGGTAGGTCATTCCATAAATAAGGAAAATAATTAAAAACAGTAAATTTATAACAATTGGTTCTAGCAAATTGGATCTTAAATCTAAAATCAAACAGATGACGGTTATTAACAACAGGAAGAAGATTTGGTTCAATATCATATTTTCTATGGAAGCAAGACAATACAAAAGAAAGAAGGAGGTATTTATAACGGTCAAAAATAAGTTTTTGTAGTAGCCAAACTTTTTGTATTGCATGAATAAATTGGCCTAATGGAAACCACCTCAACATAAAAACACTCCAGCTACTTGTCAGATCACTCCATTGCTTATACATTGCATTGTGATTAATTTTTGATGTATGGAGTTTTAACATCAACTACAAAGTAAACTTAATTCTTATGCACGCATCACTGATTTTTCTATTTAGTGAGCCAAGATGACTTTTAATTGTGATAACAACTGCAGTAACAACAAATCGCTAATATTTCTGGTGGTTTGTTTTTTAACTATGATTTAACCAAACTTTATCTTTAATGAGTCCCATGTTTTATTCTACAGTGTCATCAATGGGGTTTCAAACTGAAGAAAGAACTCAACCCCGTGATGTCTAGTAATTATCAATGTATACACAAAGAAGGCTATTTTTGTATAACCAAATTATTTTTTTTATGTACAAGTAATATACAGTTAACATTTTTCAATGATATTTTTAGTTCAACAGTACAGTACTTTGTATTTTTAAGAGTCAACACCTTATTTTCACTACAAGAAAATAAAATCTCATGTTTTATTCTAATTATCCCTTAATTTTAAAGTATTATGCATAAACTGAGCTGACAAGACGTCATGCTAGCAATAACTGTTTGTTAGCTAATATTAATAATACCTACATGGTGGTCCCGAATATCCATTTTCTTAAAATATATTTTTGACTGTATTTGAATTAATTACTTCGGACTAACGGACCTTCGGATCAAAGGACCTTCGGAAAAATGCACTGACTCCCAATCGCCACCCTTGCATTTACCCTCCTGGTGGATTTCCGCTGGTGACTGCACTTTTTCTCATGTTTCTCTAATAATAAGCTTTCCAGCCTCAAAAATCGTCTGCCGCATTTCAGACACTCCTGTTTACTGCTACTGTAACTGTTTACAAACAATACCTACCGATATAGCGTGTGACATTTTCTCAAAAAGAGCAGCAATTACTAGTAATAAACCATTAATTGAACTTAATAAAGCTATTAAAGAAAATAAACTTGGTGTTCATATTTATGATACACAGATAGGGGCTTTACTATGGGCCGATTATGTCGTTTTGATTGGGGATAGTGAGTTTGAACTTGAAAAACTCCTTAAGGTAATTGGCAATTTCTCAAAACAATAGAAACTTGAATTTAATTTTTGAGAAATCAAATGTGTTAATTACAGGGCAGAAAGTTAACCATTAGAGAAAGTAGAACCTTAGACAAGTAGTACAAATATCTTGGTACTATTATCTCTCGATCCTACACAGACACCCATCATATTGATGAGGTAAGAAAGGAAACCGAATAATCGCTTATATTACTTCCATTATAAACATTGAATCAAGAAGATTTTAATAGGGTGTATTAGTACGGGGACCTGTTGGAAGACAATAATCTTACCGACTATAAACAATGCTTGTTCGGTATGGTTATGTAATGGTAATAGTAACAGCTCTCTGTCGGCAAGCTTGACAATCTACAATATCGAATGGCTAGAATCATCCTTAAGGCTCGTAAAACGTAGCAAAGGAAGCGCTTCTAGGAGATCTAGGTTGGGAAATCTATGGAAATGGATTAATCACATAAAAGAATTATTACAGAAATTCGAATTAAGTGATGCCTTTAATTTAGATCAAGGTAGACTCCCAGCTAGCAAAGCGACGTTGGCCCAACGTTGGTAAACGTTGGCAAGCGTCGGTAAGCGCATATTAGGATTTGATAATAGACGTTATCGCAACGTTAGAGTACTTTGTTGGCCCGACGTCAGTAAACGTTAGTGGAGGTTGGTGACAACAGTTGGGCCGACATTGGTTATAAGTTGTAAATTTCAAACGTTTACCGACGTCGGGCCAACAGAGTATTGTGATGTTGCGAAAAAAAAAATTGGTTCGTGTGGGAATCGAACACTCAACCACCAGGTTTGCTAATCATTATCCATAATTTATAATCTTAATTTTAACTTTTTTGCTTGAATTTTTTATATTGAATATTATATTGAATAAAATCCATGAATGAATCCACCATCAACTAAACTGCCTTAAAAAAATGGTTCGTGTGGGAATAGAACACACAACCACCAGGTTTTGCTATTCATTATCCACCATTAACTAAACTGCCTTAAAAAAAAAATTTTTTTAATTTAAAAAAATTGGTTTGTGTGAGAATCGAATACACAACCCCCAGGTTTGCTATTCATTATCCACCATCAACTAAACTGCCTTGGTTCGTGTGGGAATTGAACACACAACCACCAGGTTTCCCGTAACATGACTAGTCTATTTTTTTCTAATTTGAATTTTTCAAAAATGTTTGTCTATTTAAAAAAAGTGCGTAAGTTATGGAGATGGTAACAATCAAAAATCCATTATAAATTTAACTCTACATTTTTAGACAAAAAACGCGGCCCATTTTTGACACCATGACCATGCGTAATATTAACCTGCAGTGTATATATACAAAGAATTTTTTCTAGTAGGATCAGAGTTGACTAACTGGTACTTGGTGTGGCACTAGGTTTATCGCATTTATGGCTTAGGGGCCGCGGTTTACCTCCCTCTGTTTAGTCATGCTGGATCAGGGGTAGGAAACTCAGCGATCGTGGGTTCGATTCCCACACGGGGCAAGTTTGTTTTTATATTTTTTATTCATTTCTAATACCAGCAACAGAAAGTGAAAATCTCACGCATTCACCCATAACTGCAATAGTTGGAGCTGTGCTGCCTATTCCTAAAATGAATCTGCAAAACCTAGAGTGAAATTTTTCAATAATTGGTATGTCATTGATTCCCCAGATCTCACTGCTATACATTAATATTGGTACTATTTTTACATAAAAAATTTTGTTCCACAAATGTATTGTTAATTTGCCAAATTTGTTATGATTTAATCGTTTTAAAGTAAAAAGAGCTTTGTTTGCTTTTGTACAGTTATAACTAATTGCATTTGAATTAAACACTACACCAAGATAATTGTAAGATTTAACTACTTGTAATAAAACATCTTTATAATACAATTTTTCTATTTTTTTTAAATTTTCCCCCATTTTTAAAAACTACAACATTACTTTTTTCAATATTAACAGTAAGACCATTTTATCATAATAGACAGCCAATTTG